GATGGGGGACAACGAGCAGCGACAACAGTTTAAAAGTTACTTTTTTTTTTTCTTTTTTTTTTTTTACAGCTCTGGGTTTGTCTTCATGATGTCTATTACAAATTAGAATTATCTGAAGGAATGATTATTAGGCTCACTGGTCTGTGTCATGGTCTTGAGTTGTACCTGAGTTCTGGTGTCCCAGGGAGAGCAGCTGGGTCTTCCAGGTGGTGAACTCTGTGATGTTAGCCTCCACCTGTCCTCTGACGTACTGCAGGCTCTGGGTGATAGCAGGCTGGCTGTCTGGACTGCCGACACACACGGCCGAGCTGAAGAGCTGCTCCACGCTAGGCATCTGAGCCACTACGGCTCCCAGCTGGTCGAAGGCTGAACAGCACGTAACAAAATGGTTCCTGTGGAAAATAACAGCGTTGTTGGGACTAGTTCTCTTTTTGTGGCTATATCCAATTTGAAAAATAAATATAGAAAATGTTATTATGTTTTACCATGTGTGGAGGACTCTCTCTGAAGTCTGCTGTGCCACATTGTCCAGCTCCACCTTCAAACTCTGAGTCTGCTTGCACATTGCATTCAGGTGCTGGTTTAGCTGGCACCAGGCGGCGTCTCCCCTCCGCATCAGACAGCCGGGAGGTTGCCGCTGTGCTGCCAGCGGGGATGGGCACCTCAGGGTGTGCTGTCTGCAGCTGCTCGTCTCCTCCTTCTGTTGAAGGTCCTCTGGGCAGCACTGATGCAGCCAGGCTAGCTGCTGCAGGAGGGTGGCGCACTGGGCGGCCAGTGCCTGGCCTCTGCTGACCCAACCCAGGAGAGATGCCTGGGGTGGGAGGGTGCAGCCTGCGTCCTCACTGTGGCTTTGGAGGTGGGCTTTGACACCCTGGACACTGTCTGTTAGCCTCCTAGGGGTGGCGATAAGACGAGAACAAACAGCAAATCAAACTACAATAGTAAACGACACACAATGTGGATCGTTTCAACTTAATCCATCCAGTAAATTATATGTGATATTATTATAATATTATGTATTTGTCTAAATATATAGAGATTTTCATTCTATGCTCTCATAGTCTAGCTTGTGGAAGGAAAGGATTTGCAGTGCTGGATTAAACAGTAATGATACTTGATATTTATGATATTCATACTTTCAGCTTCCGTGTGTCTGCTAGAGACTGCTTTGGTCAGCCTGACTTAAATCCGTCCCCTGCCTATGCTAGCTATCTGCATGCGACGTCTACACACAGTTCAAAATTTGTGGCACTGTATGCATATAAAGCACGCCGAATGCACAGGGTCCCAAGCTCAACTGAGAGCAGCGGTAGTAAAAAACTAGAGAGTGAATGGAGAGAGAGAGCCAAGAACTAAGCAGTGAATCAGAGAAATTAATAAAACCTTATTTTCCTGATTGTTTCAAAACAGTAGTGCAGAAGGTGCATGATGCCAGTCTGCTGTGTCTTTGTGCTGTGTGTCCCACCCTTGGTCAAATCAATACAGACCTGCACATATGTTATAGCCCTGTGAGCATGAGCAGAATGCCAAAATGACACTGACTCTTAATTGTAGTATGAATAGAGTCCCCACATGTACGGTACAAGTCCACAACTGTTCGTGGACACATGTAGAAAGAATAGCCAAGCCTTAAGATGACAAGTCCTAAAAGGATATTTATTTTTTTCCTCCTTCCCTTTGAACTTATGGCTGTAACTATCCATTAAAAGCAATAAAAGCCCAGAAGAAGTAAACAAAGAAATCCCTAAAATTAACATGCAAATTACCTCAATGTCAAACTAAATACATTTTATATTACTGACCTCTGAGCTATGGCTGCTGTTTTGTAACTGACCTCTGACCTGACCGTGCATAGGCCAATGAATTAAGTGAATCCCCCCCAATGGGTTCAGTAATGTTATGATAATAGTAACATAATATTAGAATAATACTGCTTTGCTATTTCAGCTAGATGCCATCAGATGCATTTATATTATTATTTTACACCAAAGGTGTCATTTCCTCTGAGGATGAGGGGCACGTTTGTTTTACTCACATACATCTCTTTAAACATTGACTTCTTCTGTTTTATTTACAGTTAATCTTCTTCTAAAAAGATGCTGGAATTGAACAAAGATAAGACTGCATGGGACATAGCTCTTTGTAGTGAAGATGAAAATGTCTGGTAAACATAGTCGTGACTCGTGTGGCAGCAGACTGACCTGAGATGGACCCATTGCTCAGTGAGCTTGGCCAGTCGTCGCCTCTGTCTGAGGAGCAGCTTGAAAAGGTGAGAGGAGAAACCTCTACAGCGCTCTATGTTCCCCAGACCCAGCTCCTATAATAACACACAAACAAACAAACACACACACAACACAAACAAACTTTAGACTACAGGCAAAAATACACAGACAACACACTGAGGAACTTAATCTGTAAACCCTGGCCTTTGATATCTGTGCCTCACCTTGGCAGCCTGCTGGAGAGCAGTCTGCAGGGATGTTCTCCTGGCCCATGAACGGTAATAGTATTTCTGACATCCATCCCATGCTGTCAACAGCTCTGTAAACAACCTACAACATCAAGAATGCAGAGAAAAGGTCTTTCAGAAGCAGAGAATACATATTATACAGCTATCCACTACTTAAGATTTACCAAACGTTAAACCTGGTTTCTCAGTAATGAATATGACTCAGATCTGTTTTTTTTCATGACAGTGTGAACAGCACAAATCCCATGGAATCTGATATTTTCAATTCTAATTAGAGCTACTTTCATATGCGGTCTAAATCAGATACAGGTCAGATTTTTTTGCATTGTGACCTCAGTATGTGACACTTTTACATTATAAGGAGTTCGGTCCCCCTAGGAACCTGCTCTATTTGAAAAAGTGTCCTGAGATAATAGTTCTGTTATGAATTGGCACTATACAAATAAAATTAAATTGAAGTGAATTGAATTTACTGTTCACACCGGAATCTGATATAGGCCCATTTAACAAATAATGTAAAAAGAAAACAAACACATTTGAACAATAAATGACAACTGAGCGCTAAGGCTAGCAGTGTGAATGTAGCCACAGTGTCTGTATAAGTTAATATACCACACAGCAGCATTCTTAACATGAACACAATGTGATTCCGCTCTTGGTGCATCTATGAACAGGTTGTATTTACATGCTCTCGGTCTGCTCCTGGTTCCTGACTGCAGACAGAGCGGTGCTCATCTCCAGGGGCTGCATACAGAGGGTGGTCTCTGGGTCAGCTATCCTGTTCCACGTCAGGCCTTTGCGGTATGACAGACCTTAAAAAGGAACCGTGATTTATATTAGAGAGGTTGGAAGACTGTTTGTTCTTTCTGAAGCTTTCTGAGGAACACTTACCTATTTCTGTGAGCATCTTGAACAGGTCTGACAGAGCTCTCTGCTTCTGCTGCAGGATGTGCTTGACCTCAGACTTCTGCTTCTCTTTCTCTGCAGACTTGTCGATGGTGAGGCTCTGCAGGTCCCGCAGGTTGCTGATAACTTCCCCTGAAAGTAAAAATACAAACAACAAGAGGACAGTACATTAACACTGAGGGGTTTGCAGCAATGTGGCAAACTAGGAAGCAGCTTTGTGATGCAATGTTGCTAATTTGGATGTATGACGTCCTTGTGTAGGTTAAAAACACTAATAAACAACAAACACATCTCTTCCTTACAACAGCTACCATTAGAGTGGTCCTGAACACCTAAGCGTAGCATGCTGTGGTGAAAAACCACACCCAGCAAGGACAAGATGGTGCTTGTCAGAGGATCACCAAAGTTATTACAATTCATCCTGAGGGTAGCAGAAATGTCTGAACCACACTTCATGGCAATAGTTGTAGTGATATTTGAGTCTGGACTAAAGTAGTTGACCAACACAGCAGTAGTGGTAACACATAAATGATCCTGAGGGTGGTGCCAAAGTCAAAGTGTTCATCCTTTTGACAGCATGAACGTGCTCAGCAAATATCCTCTGCCCATTAGACTTTGTTTTTTACTGTGTAAAAGTGGCTTTCTTACCAGTGAAGCAGTCCAGGTCTTCAGCCAGCTCAGGCACTGGGTGTTTCTTCAGCAGCTGCACACACATTTTCTTCATCTTCCTGGACAGAACAGGGAGACGTCCCTGTAGGGATGAAGCTTCGACTTCTTCATCTGGGCCCTCATTCTGAAATACACAATTTTACTTAATATCATAAAGCACATGACAATAAGTGGTGGAATATGATGACTAAATACAAAAGGAAAAGGCATTATTTGTTTGAGACATGTACAGTACCTGCAGATCTCTGCCCTTTCCAGGCAGGACGCTCTTCAGTGCCCGGTGAACCCTGTGGATGGGTGTTTCCTCTGGGTTGGCGTCCACACTGTCCAAGCTGGCGCTGCTTCCCTGCTCTACCAGGGCGGGAACACTCGGACCGTTCAGAGCCTCCTCGAACTTCTTGACAAACTTGAAGAGAGTCCTGAAGAAAAAGAATAAAGGCAGAACAATGTTGGTGGCAGGGGAGCCATTTGTCACAGAGTCCGAAAAAATACACCAAAATCCAAAATCAAACCAAATCGGGGTGATATCTTACCGATGGGTCTTCTCCACTGACTGTTTGATGGACCAGAAACTAACATCGTTCCACTTGGAGATCTTCACAAAGTCCTGAAGACAACAATTGACATGAAAGTGGAGCTTAAGAATGTGCATGCACTGTATTATATTAGCATCTATTGTCAGAGTACTGCTGTGCTGCTAATATTAACCTTGAGCTCCTTCTCGATGGGCTGTCTGAGCTGACTGATCTTGGTCTGGATGCAGTCAGAGAACTGACTGTAGTATTTGTGCAGATTCCACAAAAGACTGGACAATGATTCTGGAAAATGAGGAAAGAGTTACAAATACTACATATTACCTTGTTTTCACCAGTTACCACAGTTCAGAGGTCAAACAATAAACTTCAGTGATGAAGCGGTCCATCGAGTCGAAATCCAATCAGCAATGTGTGAGATAGTCTCATGCATGACATGTGGACAGCAGACAGTGCAGCACCTAGGGCTGACACTGTCTGGTCAACCGATCAATACATTCATCAATATCCAAGCCAACTATCATGATTTAATTAGTTGACAAAATTGCTGTTCTTATTATAATTACATAAATACTGACACTGAACGCCACTAACTAGCTCTATCCATTCTGTGCAGGACTGTTACTAAAGAATGTTTTTATTTTGAGCTGCTAATAATAAAGATATCTTAAAGTTTGTTTGGGCTCTACTGTAATGAAAACATGAGGGGTCACTATCATTATGCAGTGATCAATTAGTCAATTTCTGGAAGAGCGTGTCTATTATTATAAAATTTATACATTTGAAATTAAAACCTCATATTTTAAATATTTCCTCCTTTCCCCACATTAAAAGCTATAATTAACACTAATAAAGTTTCTGAAACATTTTCAGTCTTGGAGACACTTACACATATGTAATCATCTAAATTGTGAACAGTGAATAATAACTTCTTAATTTTCAACATACATGTGGGGCATGTCAGTACTGTGTTAAGATAGACATATATGCTTTGATGCTGTGGTGGCTGACCTTGTCCAGTCTGGTTAGGGACCAGCAGGAGGTGGCAGTGGAAGCTGAGCAGCATTGCCAGGCGGGTGTGGAACTCTCCCAGGGTGGAGCCCTCCATAAAGGCCTGGAGGGTGGAAGACACTGAGGACAAGGAGAGGCACTCTGCCTCATCACCTAGAGAGGACGGTAACAGGAAGACAGAGCATCTTGGTATATTCATTTTTTCTATTATACACTTATTTGAGTGTGGATGTTTAAATGTGTCCTTTGTTTCTTTTAGTTTGTTTCTGGAAATGATTTCATTCTTCATTGCTATTTGTTTCCATTTGCAGAGATAAATACAGCGTAACAAGCAGGTAAATAATGTCTTTTCACCTCAATTATAGTTTTTTTTGTCCCCACAAACATATATTACTTGGGTGGTTTTCACTCAGGTAAGTAAAAAAAAACATCATCATCCGTATCATCAGTTGGTCATTCTGCTGACTCAGCACACCCTCTTTGTGTGTGTACCTGCATTAGCCTCCATCCTCTGTTCCTCCAGATATCTCTCCACTAGCTGGTAGATAGAGAACCAGTGTTTGGTGGATTTCTCGGTGTGCCGCTTCATTGCATTGTCCAGACTGCTTGACCAGCAACTACACGTGACAGGACAGGACATGTTTACATTCTACACACAGGAAACAGTTTGTACACTGTGGTCATGGTCTTATATACTATTTGAGAAAAAAAAGTTGAGGGCTATAGTCCAGCTTTAATCCCCCTAATTATTATCTGAAGGTATCTAAAAAGTAAGATAAGATGCCCTCTGTGTCTTACTTGAGCTCCAGTTTGCGCCACTGGATGATGAGCTGGGTGACTGGTTCCAGTTCCTTCCGCAGAGAGACTGAGCGGCTGGCGTTGTTCTCCCAGTCCTGATGAGAACCGCAACAACAGTATAACATAGTACTCACCTCTGAGCACCAAACTAACTTTTGAGAAAGTATAACTAGCAATTTTAGTATTTCTACCTGATAAATGATGCAGGCTGATTCTAGCTGATTAAATATATATCAGCTCACCTGTGCTTTGCTGAGCAGAATCTCCAGACCATTAAGGAACTTGGCCAGAGGACTGGCCAGACTGAAAGCCATGATCCTCTCCATCACCACAGTCAGCTGGAGAACAACACACACACAGACAAGATTACACATTAGAGTAGCTAAGACACATCTGAAGAGTCACACCATAGCCCTCAGTAAAACCCTGTTAGCGGTTAGCAGTTGGGGGTTAAAACACACACATTGATAGTGTTCTTGGGAATTGATACAATATCATAAAAAGAAAATATATTGCTACTTGTTACTCAAGTGTATTGATATTTTCTTACACCACTACTTGGTATACCTATTGTCTCACAATAAATATCATTATTTTGCCCAACCGTACTGGCGAAAAGACTGGGGGTAAAGGTCACAAGTTAAATCCTGGGAACAACCAAAGTATTTCCATCAACAGGCCTTGCTTCCTGTTACATTCCTTGCTTTAAATCATTCAACCCCTACAAGCTAACTCACTGCTTGATGTAAAGAGGTCACTGACCTGTACAAGAGCTGGGTGCTCCGGCCAGTCCTCCAGTCTCTGCTTCACTGCTGCACCCAGCTGCTCCAGGACGGGAAGACAGAGACGGGCCTCGCTCATGTTGGGCTGCTGGTAGAAGTCATAAGGTCCTTCTGAGGTGACCGCCAGACCGTCGGGACCCCCCGAGCCCTGCACCGTGTTCTGGAGCAGGGCAGAGATCAGCAGTTCACTGCCAGTCAGCTGCTGGTCCAGTTCAGCATCTGAGGGGGAAACACAGAATCCATAATCCACGTTTTGTTCAAGAGCAATAATCCGTTTACACGAGTACACTTCTGTTTGCTGCAAGAAAAATGTTCCTGTTGCATATGTGAGTGATAGCAAACACTGACCAATCAAATGATAGAAGCGTGACATCATAGGGGAACCAATCTGATAGGAGGAGATCAGAGCGTTGATGTGTTCTTTGCTGTGATTGGCTGGTTTTGTGCTCTGGTACCACAGTGATTGTGCGTATCCCAGACAGAGGCGCTGATGAACCTGGACCAGTGTGTTCACGGCAGCTGAAGACAGGAAGCTGCTCTCACTGGACTCCTCCTGGGATTTCTCTTCCTCCTCCTTCAGTCCCAAGTCTGCTGGACCCTCCAGACTTGGCTGGGATATGATGTCTGCAAAGTCCTGATGAAGCATGGACACATACAGTGAGTTTCTGAGATATAACATTTCAGCTTCACCAACATCTGACCAGTGCCTCTCTACTTGAGATACCATGTTTATCATTAGGACAGGCAAGACAGATAGACTGAACCAACGCCAAACCAGCACTAGCACCAGCCCAGACCTAGCACTAGATTCACGTTGGTGGAATGGGGCTATGTGAATACCTGGTTGAACTGGGGGAACTGGCGTCTGAAATCTCTCTCCTCCTGCTCATCCTCAGTCAGTCCTGAGCCGTGCAGTCGACTGCGACTGCGGTATAGACTGGCCTCCAGCTGCTCCCGCTCTCTCTTCCGTCTCTCCTTTTCATCCCACTCGTTTACCAGAGCCTGAGGGGAATCGGCAACAGCATACATATAAAGTGGAAAGTTTGACAAAAAGTTTATTTTATTTAATTATTATTGAATAATGTTACCCCGGAAATCAATGGATCAAGGTTCAAACTGAGGCTCTGACCTGACAGATGTGTCTGAAGAGGCTGTGTGCCTCCTGGCTGAACTCTCCTGTGGACAGGGTGTGGCATTGCACATACAGCAGAGAGTTCAGGAGCAGCGTGGAGGACTGGGGGACCACATGCTCGGGGTCTTGCTGCTGGGGCAGGAGCTTCACCAGGCAGCGCAGAACATCCATGCAAGCCCTGGAGCAGAGGAAGTCTGCCCGGGCCAGGTAGGACGGCAGACTGTGGGACAGGGAGGGGAATGCCAGCAGGCAGGACACCAGCTTGGGCAGACCGGGTACAGGCGTGAGTGAGGCGGCCACCTGGGAAGCCACCAGCCTCATGCCGTGTCGGAGCTGGAGGATGCCGGTCCGTACCGGACCGACCACATCAGGGTACAGGGGATAATCCTCCAGCAGCCTCTGGCAGAAGCGCTGCTGGGAGTTCTGCCACACAGCCTCCTCTTTCAGCAGGCCCTGCAATGCTGACCTAGACTTGGAGGAGGAGGAGCTCTGAGTGGCCTTCAGCAGGTGGGACAAGAGGTCTTCCACTGCAGACGCCTGGCCGATGCTACAGAGATAGTGCTGAAGCTCCTGGAAGAGGCGACCGTACTGGGGTTCATGAGGGCGACACGCCTGCTTCCTGGAGAGCTCGGCTATCTGCTCCTTCACCTGCTGCATACGGATCCACAGGTACCTACAACAAACCAGATACAAGTGATTAAAGGATAGGTTCAAGTCTGTCATAATGTACACTGAAGAACTTTGGGTTCTACATAATGATCTCCACCTTCCTTCATTATAAGAATATGCTGTAAAAGGCTGCTGAGGTCTTATACATTGGCCAGACACGGCTGTAGCAAAGCCAACTCTTCTGCGCTTTATCAATGCAATAATTAAAGAATTTAAACACTATCTTATCTAATGTTAAAGAAAATAGCTATAAGACCTTTAAGTTACTAAATGATTATGGTATTATGCATATAACACTAACTTTGGCATTGAAAAACTTAAAAAATTGGTTTTGTTTTATATTCTAAACTCTATCTGTTTGTACCTTTGTATATGAACTGTGAAATAAATAATAATAATAATAAAATAACTGTAGTTAAAGGCTTTAAAGGCTGGTGCTCTTTGTGTGTTTAAGCTAGCTAGCTGGGAAAATCAAAGCTTGTTCTCACCTGATTCGAGGATGTTGGAAGCCATCAGTAGTGCTGCTCTCCTCCAGCTCTGCTCCAGTCATCAGCTGAGATGACAGGCTGCGTCCTCTCCACTCCTCCTGCAGCAGAGCCAGCTGCAGCAGACATACAAGGACATGCCAATTATCAGTTCAAAGTGATTCTGGCTTTAACCACATTCTAGTGATCACATGAAGTCCTAAATAAATACTTAATACTGGAGTTCAACTTTTCTGAAGGCATGATGGGACATTGTTTTTAATTTGTTGTAGCAACTGACCTTTTACGTGTCACATTTCATCAATATGTCTTTAATAAAAACACATATTCTGTATAGCTCCATGGCACATCTGTTGTTTTGCCAGATACAGCTTGTTTTTTCACAATATATGAAATGTGCCTTGGATGAAAATTATTAGTTATGGTGTCACAAAATGGGGGTGGAAAACCAAAAGCAGACAGTTGCTGACCTCTTGCTGAGCGTAGTTGAGTTTATAGGCCCTCTTCACAGCCGGGTCAAAAATGGTCTGTGGTGTCCACACTTTGATCTGCAGCAGGCCCATGTTGACCCAGAACACTCCGGAGCGGGCCAGCTGGTTGGAGCCTTGGACTTTGCTTTGGACATACTGCTGCAAGCAGGCGATGCAGGCCTCCACCAGGCCATCGGGGAGCAGGTTGGGAGGCAGGAAGTCTCTAAAGACGGTCTGGATCTCCTGGGCGGCTATCAGAGGGTCAGGGTCCTCCACCAGACTCTCGCAGCTCTCCATGTAGCCCTCCTGCAGGCTGGGAGGCAGCAGATCCGCCATGCTCTGAAGCTGCCGACGCAGGACAGCGCCCTGGAGCCTGAAGTCTGTGCCCCTGAGGACGTATTGGTGTGATTAGTAAACCCAAAAATCATATACTCTTGCGAAGAACATCTTTAATGTTTTAATGTACCTGAATTCAGCCAGTGTGGGGATGGCCATATTGTCCCACAACACAGCAGACACATCCTGCAGCTGCTGGATCCTCTCCTTCCACTCCCCCAGGTTGACATGGGAGAGGGAGAGAAGGGCTACCCCTGATGGTTCCCATCGACCTCCAGTGTCACTGCTGCTGAGCACTCCCATCATGCAACGCGACCACACTGCTTTACTTAGCAAGGCTGGTCCCTGAAAACAACATGGACATGAATTAAACTAGCAGGAAATCACTTTTATTTGACATCAACAGTGAATGTTAAAGGCCAGTACCATGTTGTCTGCTCCGTGGTGCAGCTTTGGAGCTGGCTGGGTCTCAGATCTCAGTGGATCCCATTTCAGCCAGAGGTCAGGGTCTGAGGTCACACTGCTGGTCCAGAGGGCGGCCAGAGCCTCTGATAGCAGCTCACACCACACAAACTGCAGCTCCTCAGCTGGCTGGAGGGGAGAAAAATCATGTGCAGCATTCTTCATGTTTGTAGCTTTTAGTAATCGTTTCTTATATTTTAAGTCTGAATGATGTATGTGTACACTAGAAGGATGTTCTCCCATTCATCTGCTCAAAGTGGAAAGTTTCTCATTGAAAAGCTGATTTTAAGGGGCAGGGCAAGCATGACATCACAAATAGTTTGGAAGCCAACCCTGGACCAGTATGCAACTTCTAAAGTGTGATGTAGAAACTTGAAGCCACCAGAGCACATACACTGACAATGGACTTGCATACTGGACCACAAGCTCTGCACATAAATCATTGTGCACAGTGAAACATCCAACTGTAAGGTAACAAAGGTAACAATCAGTAAAACATATTTCTGAGTGGGGAGCACTTTTGCATTGTTACTGACCCTGTCACTGGTGAGCAGGAACCACAGCGGCTGGAGCTGACTGACGTTCATCGGTGTGGATTGGAGGCAGTAGCGCAGATGTCTGGAAAGCTCTCGACGTAAGCTGTCCTCAGCCTCCTGGTCGCTGCAAATCAACAGGGAGAGTTCACTAAACATTTAATCGATAGTTTCGAGATCAGTCCCAGTATATATTTTGGTTTTGTTGAAGTGGAACTCAGAGTTTTACCCAGGAGACAGAGCCATGTGCAGCAGGTCAGTGCTGAGTCGCAGCTGGTTGAGTACGGCCAGTTCCTCCATCAGGGGCCAGAGCTGAGCCCTGCGGCTGAGCTGCTGCAGCTCGTCTCTGGCCAGGTGGACTCCGTCTCCTGGCTCCTCACCCTCAGGCATGGAACAAAACTCCAGGAGCCCTCTGGAGGTCATCTGACGCTGCTGCTGCTCCACACTCGACAACAACCTCTCCAATACTCCTGATGGGAAAATATAGACATTCACACACTGACCCTTTAAACATATAGTGAGATTTAGAACATAAATATAGCTATTCTCTATGTAAAGATACAGTGGAGTCATGGTGTCACACTCCCTCTGCCTGTGTTGCTATCGCAGCCTCTCTGTGGTTTGTTTCCATAGCCGGTCTGTTCATGGTGCAGCTGAGGTAGAGCGACTGGAACTGCTGTTTTTATCATGTACATCAGTGAATTTAGGATTTATTTCAACCAACCAGAGTTGGTGATTGTTGGAAACAGTGGAAAGACTAACAAAGACTGTTTTGGTGAGTTTTATTTTGTTTCTGTCCTCTTTGTAGGAAATGCAATATTATGATGATATGCCTTTTCTGTCTCTGGAGTCTGGTAGGGAGTGATAGTGATATTACGACTATTTGTGGTTAAACAAAAGGTCTATCTCTGTAGGGATCCTTTCCATAATGTTGTCAGACATTTAGAATAACAATCTGAGCCTGTCAGTGGCAAAAAAGAGAATGTTTGACAGGTGTATTTGTCCCCAAGGATTATCTAACATTACATAGCAGCCATAGCAGCCCGTTATGCAGCTATTTTCACATGTAATTCAGTGAATTCATCTTGTGCTGGACTCAAAAATTAGACAGACCACCAACTAACCAACATCAGCATTTTCAGCGAGACTGGTATACAGGTGAAAGGTCTTTCAATGACAAAAGCTCACCAGACTTCTGTGGATCCAGCTGGTTGTTTGCCAGTAGAACGAGGCCACAGGCTTCCAGCAGACTCTCTTTAATGTCCAGCCCGAGACCGGCACCCTGAAGTCGGACCAGCTCTTGCCTCCAAGGACCCGTGGTGCCGTCCAGCCTCAGATCACTCACATCCAGGGCTTTACTCAGGAGCCTGAGCCGAGACGCACACTCAGCCACTGACTCCAACTGATGAAGAAGATGTGACATGATTCAGATCATCTCAGATAAGTTATAAAGGACAGATATTTTACTAAACTGGCTTTTAAATACAAATTATATTAGACAAGTCAGAAAAGACTATAAAAACAACCACTGATGATGAGTAAATATCTGACTACGTTAGACAATAAAGTGGGGCTGATGAAGTGTCTCCAGACCTTGAACGGTAGAGCTTTCCCGAGGGTTTTCTGGATGCCTTTCAGAGCCGTGGCCACAGACACCGGGGTAGACAGAACAGTCTGGATGGCTGCTGAGACCGCCTGCAGCTCCTGGTGACCTCTGGGTACAGCACAGTCACAAGTGTAAGGAAGTGGAAATATATTAACTGTAGCCATTGAAAAATGTAATTCTCTTGTAACACATTCTAACATATTGGTAAAATATAAAACTAAACTATGGTATTTAGTCAAAAAATATCTGCAATGTTAGAGCAAATGTAATAATTAAATACATAAATAAAATAATACAAATACAGATTGACTGACTTCAATGAAAACTGTCATATTATGTAGTGTGGAAAAAAAAATACATACTCGAATGTGGCGTCGCTGTCTCCCAGCAGGAGCTGGGGCAGTCTGAGGATGAGGTGTTTCTGCACCCACTGCCAGTGCAGAGACAGCACAGAGATGCCCTGAGAGTCAGCCGGCAGCGTGCTGCATACATCCCAGAAACGATCGAGCCACTGAAGCAACTGTAGGATCTAAACACACGAGACAGGCAGAACACCATGAGAAAGGAAACCATAGCAAGGTGAAGTCTGAATATTAGAAGAACCCTGTTTAACCTCTGAGGACTTTTTACCCAGGTGGTGGGGTTGTGCATGATCTTATCTGTGACTAACCTGTTCCATTTATTGTTAATTACCTAGCTAGAATATGCAAGTAGTAGAAATGATTTTAATACTGTATGAGTAGAGAGGAGGTAGTATAGCACAGGTAGCAACTGAACAAGTAGTACATTGCTGTTTTAGTAGCAGTAGAACTGGTAGTAAATGGTAAATGGACCTGTACTTGTATAGCCTCTTTCTAGTCTTCCGACCACTCAAAGCGCTTTTACACTACGTGCACACACATTCACTCAGCGGGTGGCAAAGCCCATCGAAACAGGAATCACAGGCATTCAGGAGCAATGTTGGGGTCAGTATCTTGCTAAGGATTTACTTCGACATGTTGGAAACCAGGATCGAACCAACAACCTTCCGATTAGTGGTCAACCTGCTCCCCTGAGCCCCAGCTGCCCAGTAGTAGCAGTAGTACTGACATCAATAGTAACAATAGTATAGTAAATTAAGCCGTAATATTAGCAGTAGTCACCATCAGTAGTACTAACAGCAGAAGAATATTAATAGCAGCGGTAGCAAAAAGTGGGAGAACATCAGCTAGCATTATCAGTAAAAATAGTAGCAGCTATGAATAGTAGCAGTAGCAGAATTATTAGTCATCAGGAGGTAGCAGTTGCAGTAATACAAGTAGCAGCAGGGATAGTAACAGTAAAAATAATAGTAGCTGCAGTAACTGTAGTTGTAGCAGTGATAGCAGCAGCAGTAATAGTAGTAGTAGTATAAGTAGTAGTAGCACTAATGGTAGCAGCTGTAGTTGTAGCAGTAATAGCAACAGCAGCATCAGCAGCAGCAGTAGTGACAGTTGTAAACAAACAAAATTGAGGCTGTAAAGTGACATCCTGGTAATGTGAGTGAGTTCTGACCTCAAACATGATGTGATCTGAGATGTAGGGCTGTCCACTCTGCACAGCCTGCAGGGTGAATGAGTCCCATAGGTCAAAGAAGGTCCGCAGGTGCATCAGCACTGGGTGGGGCAGATGACCAATATCCACAGTCCCTGTGAGGGGGGTGGGGGCACACAGAGTTAAACACCATGCTGCACGCTGTGTAGCTCAGTGGGTGTCAGGTTTTGAGAATTGTTCAATTACCTGAGTTCATAATTCCCCAAAGCGTGCTACACATACCTTTGCTGAAAGCTGTGGCTATTCTCAGGGCACAGTTCTGGGCAGACAGGTTGATAGCACAGGTGCAGATGACAGACCTTTCCTCTCTGTCCACCATCAGAACAATCCTAAAAACACGATTAACAACTTTAGAACATTTTTACATGACCCACAGCTAAAAGAAATTCTTCATCTTCTACTTCATGGTTCACAAATCCACTTTGTATGGAAAATAAATAGTTTTCTCTGAGAAAAAGATCATTTAGGCCGTTTAGACCGACACTAGGTATCATATTTCTAATTCTTAGCATTGTATTGTGACTTGCACTTGATTGTTTAGCCCTCCACATGCAAAAGTACCCATGTTGACTTGCTCTACCACAGCAATCTGTGTTTTTCCTTGAGTACTGTATAGGCAATGTAAAGTTGACTGGCATTCTCCTGCTGTACTGTACCTGTTGGCGACTGCGTTTAGTGCCTCGAGGAACTCCATGTATCTTTCCTCGTCCTCAAAGTTGCACTTGTTAGCTAAAATATCCAGGTACTGCTTGTTCCACCGCATGTCCACCAGAATCCTGTATTCATCTGGCAATACAAAGGACAGTTGTTAAAACTCCTAAAAACTCTGACAGAAGAATGCACTGCAGTGAAACCATCATAAGCTTTACCCTGAAATGCGAAAAAAATCAAGACATATTATGTTTTAATTATGCTGTGATGACAATGCCCTACCTGGCAGCCAAACCAACCAACATGAACGCTCATCTACAGCACAAGAAGATTTAATACTCTTAACTATTTTTGCACAGTCCTAATTTGTATTTAAATGGCATACTATGCTGGTTTTTCCTAAAAAAAACAATGTACAGACAAACCTAATCCCACTCAATCATCACTTATGATCCACTAGCAGTGTGTCAGTGTCTGTTTGACTTGGGCTACAGGGTTGTACGGAGGTTTGACTGTGTTTATTTGTGCTTTCAAATGTAACCATTCCAGAAATCAGAAAATAACATTTTATTTCACCGATTCACTGCTATGGCTTCGATTCCTCTCCTCATTCCTTCTCTATGTAGCTCGACCAAAGGTGCTCTCTCTGGCTCGCTGGAGCCGTGGAGGAGTGGCCAACCTTGAATTGTGCATTTACAGTCAGCAATGGACAAATCCTACATAGTATGCCTTTAAATTATTTTTGCTCTATCATGAAGTAATGAACTACTGAATCTTATCAAGAAAAAAAAAAAAACATACCTTCCATCGGCAAATATGAAATATTTTTTATATCTAGTATATATATTACTGCAACTCTGGATTTTGCTTTTCTAAGAATGAAGTTATTTGGGGAATTGGCTGAATTTTGACTCACTTTCTAACTTTAATATCAGGATTCTGCCTCTAACTTGAGGATTCTGCATTGAACATAGCCTAAAACTAGCATTGGTATGAACAAAGTCTTACTTTGATGACCATATTAACCTTTTTTATATTATATACAAGATATATATTCATATTTGTATTTGTAGTGCTTTCAATATTCTGGTTAGGGCTTGCAGATGCAGTATTTTTTTTAACAGACGAACAAACAAAGAGTTTACCGATGCTGTGAGGCTGCAGCAGCTCTGCTAGAGACTTGCCCTTGGCAGCAAGTTTGCTCCCAAACACAGCCTTCAGAGCCCTGTTTCCTGCCTCTACCTGGACCAGAGCTGGATCTGGAAGAGTTAAGAACCACAGTTTTAGGATCCAAAGTACTGGATAGTGCTGTACAATTCTGACTAAAGACAAGTCCCTTTTTTTCCTTTTTCTGGAAGGTAGTGTGTTTACGATATAAACTGTAAAACACATCACACATATCACTCTGAACTGAGGAGCACCTTGTTTTGATAGAGTATGAAAGCACTGTACATCTACGTCTAAAATGTTGGGTTGCTGTGTGTGTTAGTGTGTGCAGATTGACACACCGGGGACATATTTGTAGCTCTTTCCAAGGTGTGAGAGCCAGCTGCTGCGGAGGATCCAGTCTCCATGAGAGGCTCTTTCTGTGACCAGTCTTACTGCTGTGGGGATCAACCTCAGAGCATCTCCGTCAGCCAGATCTACCACTCCTCCAGAGAACACTAGGCCTTCATGGACACCGCCGCTCTGCAGCGCCCTCTGCAGGTCACTCAGACTCAGTGGGCGACTCCTGTGCACAACAGAATGTGGAATTGTTTCCTGAAGTATTCAACTTTATATCCTCATAGCTCCTTCTATATTGGGTAGGTGCTTCCAGGACAGATTCACGCAGGAATTGATGTGTTGTTACCATCCTTACCGTTTGCCCTGCAGGCTGAGGGTGTTGAGGCAAAATGAGAGAACCTGTCCATCTCGGAGGACAGCGGAGAAACAGGAATCCTCCGTGGAGAGGAGGGCAGAGGGGAAGCCATCGGGCCAAACTCCGGCACACAGCAGCCCGCTGCCCCAGTCCTCTGTGTCCAGGATGGCTAAGTGCTGCTCAATCAACAGCTGGGCTTGCTGGAGGGATAAGAATGAACATCACATATAATTCACTCAGACCAAACTGGCTTTATCAAAGGAAGACATCAAACAAGCTACAGACTGTTTACCCTAATTCATTACACACTGAAAATAAACTCACCAACAGCCATAGTTTCATTAGATGCTGAAAAGGCATTTGATAGTAAGTAAATTGGGATTTTTTATCTTCTACACTGAAAACATTTGGTTTTGGTGAATCATTTATCCACTGGGTGAGGATTTTGTACACCTCACCAATGGCCACAATCACAACCAATGGAGTAATGTCATAATGCTTCACTTTGCACAGAGGTACTAAGCAAGGATGCTCACTCTCTCCATCATTATTTGAAATCTTCATTTAACTACTTGCAGCAGCCATTTGTCAAAACATACATGTCACAGGACTCCAAACAAAAAACATGCACCATAAGATCAGCCACTATGCAGACGATATTCTACTTTACCTGCAAAATCCGTCCTCTTCATTACCTGAAACCATCCACCTCATAAACACCTTTTCCGAAGTCTCTACTACACAATCAGCTGATCCAAATCCACCATTCTTCCACTAAGACATAATAGTTGGGATGTGGCATCCCAAACACCACCTCTCTCTCTGCGCATCGGTAACATCATATATTTAGAAGTCAAAATTTCCCTTAGGCTGTCAAGACTTAGTCAATCTCAATTTCACTACTCAAAACAGTACAGGACAACCTTCAACGATGGATGGACCTACCAATTTCCCTCACAGGCAAAAATGTCATAAATTATAATAAAAAGAAATACACATGGTACAAAAAAGTCAAAATTGGCATCATGAAAATAGCTGGTAAAATCAGAAAAAAGTTTTAATTTAGTGATTTAAAAGATGCTAAGGATTTGACTTACCCATACTGAAAAGGCTGTTTAAAGAGACAGGAAAATATTTAAGTTGTGATTGCATTAATAAAGGGATGTTGATACCTTTTGGCTGGCAGTGGTGCGCTGGCACAGTGAGTAGGCCTCTCCACAAGCATGCTGCAGGGCGCTGGGTAAATCTACACCTCTCTGCAGCTGGCAGGACAGGAGGGTGGCAGCATGGAGGAGGGATGCCACCGATGAGGCAGGGGAATCTGAAAGATTGAAGCAAGAGTTTTTGTTAATTACCTCTGCAGACTGACAGCATATCTGTTTGCTGTCATAATTCAGTACTTACCCCAGATGGCAGATTTGATGCTTTTGTGTATTTCAATCAGCAGATCACACACACAGTCCCCGGTCACCCCTGCGGTGTGAAGCAGGGTCTTTAGGTCCAGTGTGTCCCAGCAGACCCCCTCATGTTCCCCTGGGATGTAAACCTCCACCCCTCGGTTCCTCATGGCTCTGGAGAGCTCCCCGTGCACAGGGTCCATGGTCAGAAACAGCCTGCACAGTCACACACATCAGAATCACATTAAATTCTTTAATGACTTAAACAAAAAGTGAACAAGCTGTAATTTTGCATATTACCTGAAGTTGGGATGTGGGGTGATTTTGGGGGTCTTCCCGTCTATGACACCGCGTTCGTTGATGGTTAGGGATCCCCTGGGCTCCAGCAGAGCATTGAGGCGATCCAAGACAGAGGCACTGAACACATAATACATGATCACTGAAATCTGTATCTCTACAAAATCACTAGATTCTATTTTAATAATTCTATCTCAAACAGTTTTTGGGATAAGGTATGTTTCACAAATATTTTTGCATCCAACTTGGTAAATTAGGGTTTATTTTGACCAAACCAGTGTTTGTGATGGTTGAAAAGACTAATAAAGTATTTTTTGGTGAGTTTTATTTTATTTCTGTCCCATTGTTTTGGTCTGAGATGCTGGTGCTCTGGTGCGACATCCACTGGCAAGTGAAAGTGAATTTTGTATATATGAGCTTTAAGATATTTCACATTACTCCCTGCATAAAAAGTCTGAATATTTCAAATCTGTCTTTGATGCCTTTCCATCAGTTATCTCTTTGTGAAATCCAGCCCAATGATGTGGCCATTGTTTTTAAATTTCCATGTACAAAAATGAAAAAGTGATCAAAAAAGCACACAAATACACATAGAACACTGCACTGTTCTTTACCTGCAGAAGTTGACATTATCCATGAGCAGCCAGTCACCAGCCTGCAAAGCCTGGACCAACATACCGTCCAACCACTCAAAGCCTCCGTTTGTCCAGCCGTCTTCCAGCTGAGCCAAACGCTCCTTCAGCAGTGTGAAGTCCATCTGCAATTTGGACATGTCTAGAGGACGAACACAAGCATGTTACGAACATAAGCATGTTACGAACATAAGCATGTTACGAACATGTTCTTATACTTACAAGACGAATAAATAAAAATAAGAACAGTTGAAAGAATTTTCCTTTACATCAGGCAGTATTCAGTTATCATTACCAGTGAACACTTTGAGCTTGGTGTTGAGTTTCTGCAGGAGGAGGATGATGACCTCCAGCTTGTTCAGGGCTTCTGAGTTGACAGTTCCCCCTGTTCTTTGTAGTCCTTCCTCCTTCAGCCAGTGGCAGAACAGACCCCACGTCTGGAGCAGAAACTCTGTGTCCTGGATGCCAACATCCAGTGACATCAGGCCACGCCTTATGACCATGGCAACGATGTAGTCCACGCTCTCCAGCACTTGTTGCCATGGCCGCATGATATCCACCTGGAATAAAGAAAAGAGTGAAGAGTGATGTGGTCTGAGGTTTTCAGACAATGAAAGAAAGAAGCTTTTCGAACTAGAAATCTGAGGTCGTGGTTACCTGTTCAAAACCTCCCAGCAGCTCTGTGGTGTCCATGGCACTGTTCATGGCCATGACCCTGAGGCGGTGTCCTGTCAGCAGAGCTAGCAGTCTAACCAGGCTGGTCTTTCCGCTGGCTGTGGGGCCGACCAGTATGGTCATCCAGCCCTTCTCCACACACTTCATCAGGGATTCCAGGGGCCGCAGTGCCTGGTGCGTGATGGACAGCGGGGGGTCCAGGGCCACAGGGGCTCCGCCACTGCGCTGCAGGACAGAGAAGCCAACCTACAGAGGCAATCCATGGGAAAAAAGCTCATTAATTTTGTCCTTACAATTCAAAACATCTTCTACTGAATAACAGAAGGGGTTGTTGTTCTGACAAACCTGCAGGTTAAGTGGAGTGATGTGGAACTGTCTGGAGCCGGTGTAAGGCTCAAAGTCCTCCCCAAACACCTTCCTGAACACGGACAGCACCTGTGTGGGACGGGAGGGGGGTTCACAGACAGAACGCTGTTTTCTTCAGTTCAAGTTCACAAAACCAGTAGAGGCTTTCCAAACTGGTCAGTAACAAGGACTGAATGCAGAGATAATTTAATATGCTCAATATGTGCAAATACAAGCACTCAATGTCATGAAGAACACAAAAATGCCCCCCTTTTATATTTTTGTGTGATTATTATTTTTACTATTCATTTATGTTCAACTGTAACTTATTTCTAAATGAAAAAGTACCCATGATGACCCTAGCTGTAGTATGGTGGACGAGGCTTTGTTGTTATAAATATTACATAATGCACTTAAGGGATTACCACCCAAGCTGCTTAAACCCAACACAACCCTGACTAACTTGTTCTAAAGGGACTTTTGCTTTGACTTGTTTTTTACAGAGCTTCAAACAACGCAAAACAAGAGAATTGGCCAGCAGTCTCAAACATTTTTCAATCTCCCGTGCAGGCTGTTTTGCTGATTGTTGTGGACTAAAATGCCAGATTTCATGGCAGCTTTTCTAGAAAAATTGCAATGCATGCTGCAATCTTTTTAGGATTGTTTTTTGCAATGACATTGGTGTAGAAAGTAAAAATTGCAAAAAATAGCTGTGATTTCTTTTTTGTATAATTAATTAAAAATCTATGGCAACTTGTTACAGTGAGAATAAAATCAAACTGTTGTTGGGGACTGGTTGAATTTGCCTTAATTGTAGGTCAGTTAGAATCATATACACATACATTTGTTTGTATGTATGTAGGGGAAAAAAAGGAACATGATTTGATTTAACAGATTTAATTCACTGATATACTGATTTCTGTTTCTAGAGGACCGTACAATCAACTTTTTTTGCAACGGTGTACCTGAGCCTTGTCAGCATCGGCTCTCATCCTGTCAGCATAAACCAAGGCTACATGCTGGCCTGGGTTGAAAAATCCTGGTGATTGGTCAGCCTGCATCAGCTCACACCAACGGAACATGTCGCGCAGGTTGAACTCCCAGGGGCTTCCTTTCTGACCCCACTGCCTCTCCACGCACACCTCCTGGACAAGCTGTTAAAGGCAGAAAGAACCTTTTAGGTGGCTTTTGACTCACTTTATAGATGTGAAACACAAGTTGAATCTTCAGTTGGCAGTCATACAGCAACAATGAAAAAGAAACCTACCCTGTTACTGAACTCCACCATTTTAGCAACGATTTCCTTATCAATGCTGGGGAAAATGGAGTCTCCTATGAATTCCATGTCTTTTCTAGTGAGCTGGTCCACAAAAACCTGAGAACACAGGGGAAAGTCAGATTTAATAAACAAAAATAATTTGACAGATCTCTTGCCGAGAGCTTGCCGATGCCTTGCAGATGCCCCACAGATATCTAGCAAGCAATATCAGGTTGCATTGGATGCAACGAGTTACAGCCAGTGAAAGCAGACATGGGCTTACGTCTCTCTCCAGCACCAGACAGAAAGCAGTTACTTTTGTAATGGCCAAAATAACCTCATCAAATACCATCACACACACATAAAACCAAAACATAACCTGTGTAATGAGTTGGTATATCTATCTACGTGCACTTACTCTAGTGAGAAATCTTAATTATTCAAACAGTCCTGTTCTCATTTCCATGGTCTTTTCACACTGAAAGAGCGCAGCTACAACAGAGGCTGAGCCAGTTTATCTTAATGGATTATATTGATGCAGAATTGACAAGAAGACTGTGGACATGACACCATTTAGTCTGTTTCTAGTTATGTGTTTTTATGGACATGCAAGGAATTGTAGAAATGTGATATTTCCTGTGTGGTACAGGGAGCTTTCAGTCGAATTTAAACTACTAATATGTATAATTTTTAATGTTTTGTCACCACTACAGAAACACTAGGTAACTGTTAAAGTATGATAAGGTTGTCTGATGACTGTTATTAGTTTGATTAATGGTTTAATAATGCTATTACTGACACTGGTTGATCAGGGTCATTATCAGCTAATTGTACTCTAACTGACAGTATGCTATAAATGGTTGCAATTTGTGTACCTGTTTTTAAACCATTTTCCTAATTAAACATGAGGTGCTTGTTATTAATGGTCTTATTAATGGCTCCTGATGAAACGTAGTTTAGAGACTAGACAGACTCTAGGATTACTCCTCGTGAAAGCTCTTGTAGTGTGTGACCAACTTCAAAACCCCCAATTACGAGACTGAAAGTGTAGTGTGAACTGTATAGTGATTAGACATTTTTGAAAGTCATGTAGTGTTTTACCTGAGTGAATCTGTTGAGGAAGGATTTGGGCAGTCCCTTACGCCCACCGCCCTGCATGAAGGGGTTCTGGCAGCCAAAGATCTTGGTCTTCTCGTGCTGAACCTGGAAGCTCATGCCCAGTTCAGGAATGTAGATCTCTGCTCGGTGATCGAAGCAGGCATTCAGGCCCTCCAACACCGACTGAGAGGCCAGGTTCAGCTGTCAGCATGAGGAACGAGTCAGTTTAATATTGCGGGTTATGTTAGCATCATCACATTACAATTTGTTTTATGAAAGTGTGCAAACAAAACAAAAACGGTGTACAAGCATGTCTGAAGTGGTCCTTACCTCATCCAGGACAACCCAGTGTCCTGCCTTCAAAGCAGCCAAAAGGGGGCCATCGCGCCACGCAAACTCCCCTCCCTTCCCTCCCTCCACAGGGAGATCTGTTCCAAACAAATCAGTAACATCCTGCCAGAGAGTGCACATCATCAGCACCAGAGTCTTGTTTGCAGTTCATTCAGGAGCACAATCGATAGCGTCTGAGCATTCGTATAAAGGCTTACCGTTTGATCTGACAGGTTGATCCTGACCAGGTGGTTCCCAGAAGCTTTTGCCAGCGCTGCCACCAGGCTGGTCTTTCCCACACCAGGTGAGCCCTCCAGCAGCACGGGCCTTTGCAGCTTCAGTGCCCGCAGGAGCCTCTGAGCATTCACCGCGGTGGTGCCCGCTGCGATGGCGTAGTCTGACAGGTTACGGCTCTCGGTCTGAGTTCCTGGGTGTACGTACGGAGTAATGAGCCATTTGAGTCCAGCATGAGCAGAAAAACTCAGTATGTAATAACCAGAGCTTTAGTTTTCCATGTAGAATTAGATATGGTAGTTTAATTCATTTTTACTCTTAAATGAGATTGAGATCAGTCTTGTCATTTAACTCAAGAAAGCAAATAAGCAAAATGTCAAACTATTCTTTTAGTGAACTGGCTGATGGTATAGGACATGAACACACATCTTATAAATCATGAAGTCCATACCTAAGGCGATGTAGAAGGGGTCAATGCCGAAGAAGTCTTCCCCCCACTGGGGTTCCCGCGGCAGGCTGCTGTCATAGACTCTCAAGGCGTCCAGCATCTCCTGATCCAGCTTGGTCATCTTGCTCAGCCGCTGTTGCAGGAAGCCCAGGCATAGCCGGCGTGCCAGCAGGGCGTTGTCAGCACAGAACGCTGTGGTTCCTGCAAGAAAGGTGTCACATTTCTTAGAAGACCTCCTCTGAGAGACAAATTGTCAGCGGAACTGAAAAATAAGCCGCCAGCTAACCGGAGCCGATGCCATCGATGTAGACCAGACATGCAGCGTGAATAAAGGCGGTAACGGTGTCCAGTCTGAGGTCCCATTCTGCTCCCTCTTCATCTTCCAGGGCTCCCATGGTCATGAAGCCGTCCTCGTCCCGCTCACACACGATATTGAGAAAGTTGACCCATGACAGGATGTCTCTGACACTCAGGATGCAGCGCCGGCCGAAGTCTTGTCGTGTCAGCCACTCGATGAAATCCAGCATGAGCTCAGCGATATCGCCACCTGCGTTTGAGAAGCCACATCAGTAAAACTTTGCAGATAAGGTAAATGTTTTGTTATATTTCACTAGACAAGGCAGTTCCATTTATACAGCAAGCCTAGAAACAGTAAAGCTGTGGGTCATAAAACCATGAGCTAAAAGAGGCAAAGACAGAGCTGAGGGGAACTGGAGAGTTGATGATAATCATATTTGGGTTCATCACAAGTGACACATTCTATATATAATCCATTGTTTATATCAAGATATTGATTAATGCACCATTAAAATCTTACAAATGAAGAAGACCAGAGGTTTAAGTGGTCATTTTGATCTGATGAAATGTGAAGAAAATGACAAATGTTGTGCGGGGGAATAAAATAATTGATTAAATATGTGACAAGACCAAATAAATAGTAGTGAAGGAGTTAAAAGGGCTGTAAACCTGGGCTAGATACACTTGTGCCCTAAAATATCCCTTGAACTGGTGCTAGCATTGTGAAAAACTAGAAATGAGTAGAAATAATTACTAAAGTAACGTACTAATTATCTCTCTGAAGGCAAGATTTTGAATTACCGTTCAGTTAGTTGGTTGATAAGGCAATAATTCACATGATTAACAATATTCATGATGTAACGATGTCTCAAAATTGTCCAGAAAATAAAAGTAAATATTTATTGTATAATATTAAACAAAGATGGTTTACCATCGAGAGAGAGGCCACAGCGCAGGTTGTGTTGGATGATCTGAACCAGGTCACTGCGGCTGTTGCTCTGAGGACACCAGATCTCTGTGAAGCGGTTCCTGAGGGCCGGAGAGAGCTGTGCAATAACAGACAGGCACAAAAGTCAGACTCTACCTACATAAAGTTCTGGCGGATTACTTTTAAAGCACATTCATACAATATACGTTAAACCATCAGCACAAATTCAGCAGAATCAATTTCAGGCAAATACAATGAGCATCATTTCTTTCTAATCTACCTCCTTCTTGCCAAAGTCTCCTCCAGGGTTCATGGTGGCAACCAGACGGAAACCTGCAGCTGCTCTGATCAGCTCCACGTCGTCATTGTCCCCGCTGCCCTTCTCTGCCAGCACCAGGGACTTCTCTGTCTCAAGAACACTGACAACAAACACAACACACTGTCAAAGGCTCTTCTTAACCTGTTAATCACCTGTATGTGGTTGTAAATTTAAATAATTTCCCCCTGGGATTATTATTATTTTTTAGTATAGTATAGTATATACATGTATATACACACACACACATATATATATATATATATATATAGTATTAGTATATTTTTTTTCGGTTTTTATGCCTTTATTTGATAGGACAGCTGGAGACAGACAGGAAAGGGGGGCAGAGAGAGGGGATGACACGCAGCAAAGGGCCGCAGGTCGGATTCGAACCCTGGGCCGCTGCAGCAAGGACTCAGCCTTGGTACATGGGTCGCCAGCTCTACCACTGAGATAACTCCCGCTTCCCCCCCCAGGGATTAATTATAGTATTTCTGATTTGATTCTGATTGATGTGGGGCAATGTGTCATACGGTCAGTCGGTTGGATTTTGTTGCTTAAAATGCAAATTGCATGTAATATACACATTTTTGTTGTATAATATCTGTCAAATGTTTGCTTATGCATCATTACATCTGATTGAACACAGGAGTCTGTAGTGTCTCCACATCATTTTAATACTGAGGACTGGGGTAACGCAAGGCTCTCGCTTATAAAATAGCTTATACTCCAACACAGATTACACATCCTTTTTTTATGCATGATGCATCTTTATATTCATGTCTCTTCTCCAACTTAAGAACAATCTACTAACAACTCTCAGACATTCTCTTCAGAACTTCAAACATTATTGTTTTTGTTGAAAAGTGACATTGTATTATCCATTACAGTTTAAAATAAATAACAAAATGGAAAAATGTAATGCTTTTTTGCTTTTTTCACCACTATTGGTGGTTAAATAGAAATGGAGAAATCTTTATTTTAACGTCTATTAATTATAATGAATGTTATTCTGTTGAAAATATAGTAAATAAAAAACATACATGTGTAAAACAGTGATACATAAAAATATGTAATTCATTTTAAGAAGAAGACACCTAATTACTGGATTTATAACAACTAATGTCAGTTCCTGTTAGAATGATTCCCAAATTCAATGCACATAATGCAATTTGGGGCTGCAAAAAATTGTGTGTTCTACATGTTATCTCTTCCCGCACCGAATCGTCTGCAGGGAGATTCATCCATGAGAAACCGTACTCCTTCCTTCCAATGCCAGCACCCAAAGGACGTCATGCACTGAAAGCCTGCTGTCTCGACCACAGTCTCACAACCACAGACAGAGGGAAGGACAGACTTAGATGTCAAAAAAAAATTCATGGATTTCGTTGTCTTAGTACTTGTAACTTTGTGCATGACTAATTAAGTTGGATCTAATTAAAAAAATAAAAAACTATAATAAAAATAGATTTCAATCTCATATTGTACTTCATATTTATTCCAATTGATTGCATCAAGATCTGTCGTTTGAAACGTTTGAAAAGGGTGAAACATACTGTGATCCTTGTGTATATGTTATTAAATTATGTCTGGTTTTATGTAAATCTCTATTTTCTGTCAGCCAATGACAATGACGTTTCAGGAATAATACTAGGATAATGTCCAGCCTTCTTATTGTTATGTATAATGGATTCACTTCTGCAAAGCTCAAAAAAACCGTACTTGGGTTTAGCCTCCTTCTGATTCTTTCCTCTGCCTAAGGATGTGACTTTTCACCCACCAAAGACTTGTTGTACCTGATGTGTGTTCTGACAGGTCGCAGGCCTCCCAGGAAGTCGACGTCTCCATGTGTAAGGTGACAGTTAGCTGAGAAAAACTTCTGTCCAGCCAAAGCAGCAAACAGCTGGCAGATTGTAGTCTTTCCACATCTGGTGAGGGAACAGGAAAAAGAGATTAGCATGGATAAAATAAACACACATGCAGTATGTTACAGGTAGGACACCCCAAGAACCCGGGGTCTGGTTTTTGAGGAAGGAGTATCTGAGACAGACAAGAAGATTACAGGAATATCTGCTGAATTTGACCAGGAAGTGTGGTCTGCATGACTAGATACTTACACGCTCCTCAACTTATGTATATCAGCTAAGCCAAGGAACTAGAGTCTACTAATGATATAGTATGTAAATAGAAAAAATGAACGAAATAAGTTAGGAGAACACGATTATGCAGGCCATGCTACAGTCTGTTGAGCCTGTATGTTGGATCAGCGTGCATTAAGCTAAAATTAACATTGTCATGCTAACAAGCTCAGTGACACAATGATGGTTAAGTAGGTGATATTTACCGTGTTCACTATCTTAGTTTAGCATATTAACTATGCTCCATTTGGCTAATTAGCGAAAACTGGGAAGTTATTAGGATTAATCATCTGGGAATGCACATGAACATCAGTAATGCTCATCTGTCAGTAGTTGTTGGGAATATCAGTCTGGAAGCAAGTGGGGGATCAACGTTGCTAGCACTCCTAGAGTTGGTAATGGTAAATGGACCTGTATTTGTAAAAGCGCCTTTCTAGTCTTCAACCACTCAAAGCGGACATTTACACTACACGGCCACATTCATCCGCCTTTCACACACATTCGACCAGTTGATGGCAACGCAACCGATGCACAGCATCGGGAGCCATTTGGGTTCAGTATGCTTGGCTAAAGGATTCTCGACACGTGCGGGAGGAGCGGGGATCGAACCACAACCTTCGATTAGTGACAACCCGCTCTACCTTCTGAGCAGCAGCCGCCCAATTTGTTATTATGCTGGCTAGCATAGCTAAAAAATGGCCATTTTTTACTCTAATTCTTTCTTAAGACATGCAGTGACAGTTAATCTCACCCCCGGTGTCTCCTACAAGACAGGACGACTCGCCAAAATCGAAGCGCCCGTCTACTAGCACAGCTAGCCTCATCACTGCTGTGCTCCACACCACTGTGCGCGAAACTCTCCGGAATCGGCGATGCGTCGATGAAGGGACTGCTCAAATCAAAGCAACAAGGCAACATTGATCAGTGTTGGCTCAATTGGCTCATTTTTTTCTCCCTTTTTTTGATTATCATTTTAATTTACTGTGGGGAGCTTAACCATGAAGCAATACACAGAAAGGAACGTTGACTGAGGTTCCAAAATGGACGGGTCTTAGGAAAAGGCCAATTGCACACAAATAGTCAAAAATTAGATGTGAATGCGTTGTTTGCCGAAAAAAAAACCAAAAAACTCCTATTATCAACCAAAATTTTTTACAATAGTCCAGTGGATATACTCGACTTTAAAATAACTAATTTAAGGGTTTCCATTCCAATTCTGCAAAGCAAGGTTCTTTCCCCAATGAGAACACATGACTATGTTTGGAACCTAAAATGGTTCTGGAAGCCCCCTTAATTAGTATCAAAATGGGCTTCTGTTGAAAAAGGTCCAAATTACATTTGGGTGGGAAGGTGGTTAAAAGTGGGCTTCTGTGAAAAAGGTCTATACAGTGTGAAAGTGTTTGTTTAGTGTGTGGTAGTGGAGTGAAGTGTTCCACTTACTGAACTGGCTGGTGACCTGTTTCTGAGAGAACAGGTTTTCAGGGTTCACCGTCCTCTTAAAGTGCTTCTCCAGGATGGATAGGATGATGGCCTCCTCCTCTGGCTTCCTCACACGTCCTGCCAGCAGCATGTACCCTGACAAAGATGACAGCAGTTTTATTTAATGTCTCAATGGAACACAGATGTTGGTTGGTGACTTAACAGAAATGTCTGATAAGCCTCACCGTCGTCAGCCAAATGCTGCAGCCAGTCCTGAGACGCCTCCGTCTGCTCCTCCAGCCTGTAGCGGTCTGCCCAGCGAAACAGATCTCTGAGCGTGATGAAGCCATGTTTCCCCGCAAACACAGAAGACCCCCTACGTAAGGACTGGAAAAGGAGAAAAACAATTCACAAATACAGTTAGGATCACCCAAGACAAGTAGGTAATATGCAGGGTAGACAGACAGGTACAACAATGAGAGTGTACAGTTACCTGCAGGTCTTGCATGACCTTGACCAGCTTGGTACAGTAGGATGGAGGCAGGCTGCACCTCTGGTGGAGGATGGTCTCCAGCTCTCCACTGGGCAGCTCGTCAAAGTGCAGCTCCACAAAGCGGTTCCTGAAAGCCCTGGACAGCACCTGGAGATCAGTTAGTAAAGATAACTTAAACGGTTTTTACTTTTTGATTGACAGGCAGATGTACAGTAAGGTGCAAGAGCGGGTTATCTCCTTGAAAGATGAACGTGCCCTGAACTGGTAACGGTATTTATCAACTTATTTCGATCTGAACGTGATCTGAAGGTGTTTTACCAAAGTGAATCTGAAGGTAGCCACACTGTAACCATGCCATCAAACACAAGCCTCTCAGTCAGAATATATGGTATACCTTTCTACCCCCGTAGAGACCAGGGGGGTTCTGGGTAGCGAACAGCATGAATCTGGGGTGAGCCTTGATGACTTCCTGTGTCTCGGCCACAAAGAGCTCCCGGTTGTCATCGAGCAATCTGTTGAGAGCCTCCAGAACGTCGGTGGGGGCGAGGTTCAGCTCATCCAAGATGATCCAGTAGCCTTTCCTCATTGCGTCTATCAAAACGCCTGGAGCAGATAGACAAAGAAATTACATATTAGTCTGAGAAGGATGCTAGAGTTCAATGATAGATGGGGCTGACTAGGGAAATGCTTTCATGTGTGTAACAGTGGGTCTTCAGAGGAGTGCAATACCCTGAAGTTTGAGATACTTTATAATGGCCCACTACATGTTAACAATGTTCCTTTAAAAAACAGGTTAGCAGAAGTTCTTGTACCCTCTTTGAACACCAGCTTGCCCCTGTCGTCGGATGAGTAGCAGCCTATGTATTCCTGGATGTCGGTGTGCTCGTGGTTGTTGATTCTCACACACTGGTTCCCCGTGGCTGCGGCCAGCCAGCGGATCAGGCTCGTCTTCCCCACAGATGTCTCTCCCTGGATCAGCACTGGGTGAGACCTGTGAGGCCAAAACATTAACAGAGAGAGTGATGGAGGGGGGGCAGACTACTGATTTGTCATCAGCTCAATGTAGAGTGATGCTGTAAACTCAGAGTACCAAGTTAATCTTGGGGGCTATTGTGTGGTGAGGATGGGCTGCTGTATGTGACAATAACAAAACCAGGACACCTGCTGAACGACATGACAGGTGATGGATGTCAAAACTGAGCGAAGCAGTGTTAACATTCTAGTTTTCCTGTTATTTGTTGTGACAAGAGAATTGCATTTAATTAACCAATAACTCCTGACTTAAGGCTGCACTATCAAATGTATATGAACAAGTGATCAAAGGACTATGTGTAATGTGAACATGTAGTGAGGAAAACACAGAAAATTAACTCTACAGCTCCACCTCAGCTTTCCACTTTGCTTTGCAGTAGATCTTTTTCACAGAAGTCGTTTTGACATGAAATAGTTAAGGTGAAACAGAGTCAGGGTGCTGGGTGCCTGCTTATGTGGGTAAAAATGGACATGTACTTTGTTGATGAGCCTTTCCTAGTCCTACCCGAATCACTCAAACGCTTTTCACTAGTTGGCCACATTGACCCTTCTCAACATTTAAAACCAGCCGATTGGGCAAAGTTTCCATTCGAACAAGAAACTAAAACAACCTTTCCGAATTAGGAGAACAAACCCTCTGGCCTGCCGCACAAAGGCGGCCCGTGGTTGTGGGGCTCCATGGGAAGGGCTCTGGCTACACAAATGGGACAATATTAATAGTATCACTGGGATCTACAATTAGGTCCTGTGTTTTACCTGTGCACCCTGGTTGTACCATAAAAGAAAATGTTTTTTTCCAGTTGGGAATGTGGGGGAGAAACTTGACTGGCCTGCCCCCACAGTGTCCTGCCCCCCTCAACCCACTGAACCACCTTGGGCCATGAACTGGAACATCGCCTTGACCAGACCCTTACACCTATACCATCAGTGCTGGACTCAACTAAATGCCCCTCCTAAAAATTCGACATCATTGAGTCACGCTGTTCTTCTACAGGAGTTTCCATACAGAGGCATAAGAGCGGATTCCCGCTTCCTGGGGCCGCAGGTCACCTGAACCATGGGCAAGGGGGAAATTCAGGTCCAAACATACAAATTTTGTCCTGGATACATTCCCTTCTCCTGAAGGGCCCAGAATTACTCTGACATAATGAATGCGAAATTAATAGACATTGAACCCAATTGATTCGGGGAAGAATCAATTTGGGCCATGAGGGTTCAGGCCCTGGGCAACAGTTCTCCTCCTGCAGAATACAACTCTAACCGCAGTCCAGCGGAGGGTTCCATTGACTTTGAGGCCGGTGGGAAGGCATGTTAACTAGGGTCAAGCCGCCCCATCTTCCCCCTGGAGACAACCAAGTAGCCCTCACCCTCTCCCACGCAGAGCCAGCCTGAAGGGCGCAAGGATGGAACCTGTGGGGAAAACATAAATAAAAAATGCTTGGAACTGTTACCAAATAACTGTGGGTTACAATGAAGGACCAAATTTAACACAAACATTGATCTACAAACTTCTGTAATTTACCATGCTGGTTTCCATGTAATTTAATGCAACCTGGCATAGCTCCCAATACAAACTGTGGGTTAAAAGGACAACCCCTGGAAGAAAGAGAGAGAGAGAGAAGGAAGAGAGAGGAGAAGAGAGAGAGAAGAGAGAGAGAGAGAAGAAGACGAGAGAGAGAGGCTTCCTCTACAGCTGCTGAAATGACATTTTTAAATGTGAAGCATCTGTTGCACGTAACTTTGAAAAGAAAAAAGTTTGAAAAATTAGTGGAAATGAAAAACAGCATTTTGTTGTTGAAAAGACCAAACACAGGACGAGTAGAGGGGTTGAGTATGACATTTACTGGTTTGTTTAACTGGATTGGGAGGGAAGGTTTGGTGTTGTCATCAAACAAGTAAATTCAAAAAAAGGGTGCCAGATCAAAAAACAGCTGTTCTTGCTATAAAGAATGTATTAAAAATGCCCCAAATCATGACATATTCACATAGGTTATTGGCCGTGGATACTAAACCATCCCCTGAAGAAATATAAACAGGATTAATAAGTTTATGTTTTGTAAGCGTGATTAACATGGTTTCTTGGATGTATCTGTTTTCCTTTGTTCCCATTTAGCATAAGTTTCTACATACAAGTTTTCTGTTTGTAGTGAATGCCAAAAAGCAGACACCAACGCTTGGTAAACATTCCTGGTTAAGTTTCTGAATAGTATCATTATGTTTTATTGATCCTGAAATCACATCCTTGTTTAATTAAAAGCCTCCAGTTGGGTGTAACATTTGGAAGGAGGGATCTTTATTGGTCAAAATGGAATAATTAATATTTCCTGAGGTTGATGCTTTCATTACTGGTTATACATCACTGAAATAATATAACCATTGTGGTTTTGTTTACTTTAGAAATAAGCTGTTTATCTAACAGAAAGCCCCGCTGGG